CCAGGAATTTGGTTCACACAAAGTTGAATAAGTAATTTCATATTGATATACGAATTTAGTAGCGTTCCGTGAGGTCCGTGGGCCTGCCACCATTATGTGCTTGCACCATTAAGTGCTTGCACCATTAAGTCCCAAATCAACGCGCTCGGTTGCTTCAAGGAAAACGCGGTCAAACTTATGGGTCAAACTTACTTATATCCTTTTGCATGCCCCTTCCTGAACAAAGTACAATACTAATTAAAATGAATCACTGTATGGTAGGTTACCTAGCATGTTGGTCCATCTCACACGCCAGCTGTAACACGGACTTGTTACTAATAAAAAGTCGTTTACACAGCGGTTGTTCACTAATATTGATGTATCTCAGCCTCTCAAATCACAGGATGAATTTTCGTGATTAGAAACGTTAAAAACAATCGAAATATAATGCCATTGAAACGGAGAGCTTACTACGTGTGTTTTCAGCCTTCGGGTAGACGAGAAATCTAAGTCCTGTTTAAAAATTACATTCCTTGTGATTATTACACACTGTTACATAATACATTATTTAATTGTCTAAATTCCCAATTACATCATACCAATTTTAGTTGACACGGGGGGAACATACACTGCTTTGGGATTTATTTTCAGTCTCCCAACGAAAAAAAGGAAAGACGTATTACTTGTTTAAGCACTTTAAACTAAGTATCAGCAATGGTTATAGTGGAGAGCATAGCGATATCAAGAAAGACAGTCATGAAAAGTAATGAAAACACTGGCCTCAGAAGAAGCTACGCTACAACATTAAATCTCCGCTATGAATCAAATCCCGCGCGCAGGTCTGTTTGTCATACCCGAAGCACGCAGTCTCTGTACACAATGCCCAGATTTACGTTTGAGAAACGAGGGCCAACTCTTTGACTAATAAAGGATGCCTGTGCTTGATGTTGTTTGAGCGGACACGTGACCAGCCAAAAGCCTGGATGGGAACCTGTAGTATTTGCGCCGATTGTTTCCAACACACGTTTCCGGGTGGCATCTCTGACTGCCACCCCCCTGACCCAGAAATGGATTAAAGGGTAGAAAATGGATGGATGGATATTTATCACAATTACATTCATAAAAATCACGTGACAAAACTTGTGTAGCATAAAATACGTTAAACTAGTAGACAGTAAACATCATAGACAGTAATCATAGACACCATATTGTTGCATAATACTGTTTTCTGAGCTATTACATTGTGGATTGTGATTGAAAAATGACACACTTTGTAAGTATTTAGGAATTCCATCCATCCATCCATTTTCTTCCCCTTAATCCATTTCTGGGTTGGGGGGGGTGGCAGTCAGAGCTGCACCCAGTACACAGAGCACCAGCCCCTATTTAGGAATTCCGAATGGGGTAAAAAACACTAACCGCAGACAGATGGACAGGCGCTGTTCAGCTGGAATAGAGCGCCTGTGGTTGGTGTCCTGGTAGGAGATCCTAGCGCCAATGCGGGTCAGTAGGTCGTCAAACTGGGCCAGGGAGAGACGAAAGTACCGCTGAAATCAGAATCAGAATCATTTTTATTGCCAACGTAAGTAACGGGAGGTCACAGACTTGGAAATTGCTTTGGCTCAGTGCAACAGTCAAAAAGAGATAATAAAAATAAGAATAAAAAACACTTCTAAAGAATAAATTTAAATTTAAAATAGAGTTACAGTTACTATTTACAATATACAAGTGCACATGGTGCACACAATGTAAGGTGACAGCAGTACAGTGAAGTAAAGTGACGTATGATGGGCAGTAAAGTGACTTTATAAAGGGCGGGGGGACAGGTTAAGAAGTGTTCAAGAGTCCAACAGCAGAGGGGAAGAAACTGTTCTTGTGGCGGGAGGTTCTAGTCCTGATGGACCGCAGCCTCCTGCCTGAGGGGAGTGGTTGGAATAGTCCATGTGCAGGGTGAGAGGGGTCGGCTGTGATACGACCAGCCCGGCCTCGAGCTCGGGCGACGTACAGGTCCTGCAGCGATGGAAGGCTGCGGCCGATCACTTCCTCTGCAGAGCGCACAATGCGCTGTAGTCTCTGTTTGTCCCTGACTGTGGCTCCAGCGAACCACACGGTGATGGAGGAGGTGAGGATGGACTCGATGATGGCCGTGTAGAACTGCACCAACATCTGTGCAGGCAGCTTGGCTTTCCTGAGCTGCCGCAGGAAGTACATCCTCTGCTGGGCCTTCTTGATGAGGGAGCTGATGGTCGGCTCCCACTTGAGGTCCTGGGTGATGGTGGTGCCCAGGAAACGGAAGGACTCCACAGAGGTGATGGGGGAGTCCATCACGGAGGGTGGGGGCGGGGGGACAGTGCTCTTCCTGAAGTCCACAATCATCTCCACTGTCTTCTGGGCGTTCAGCTCCAGGTTGTTACCACTGCACCAGGACACCAGCCGGTCCACCTCCCTCCTGTAGGCGGACTCATCGTTGTTGGAGATGAGTCCAATGAGGGTGGTGTCGTCCGCGAACTTGATCAGCTTCACGGAGTCGTGGCTGGAGGTGCAGTGGTTGGTGTACAGGGAGAAGAGCAGGGGAGAAAGAACACAGCCCTGTGGGGCTCCTGTATTTATAATCCGAGAGTCCGAGACATTCTTCCCCAGACGCACTCGCTGCTTCCTGTCCGTCAGGAAGTCAGTGATCCACCTGCAGGTGGAATCGGGCACGTTGAGCTGGGAGAGCTTGTCCTGGAGCAGGGATGGCAGGATTGTGTTGAAGGCAGAGCTGAAGTCCACGAACAGGACCCTGGCGTAGGTCCCCGGGGAGTCCAGGTGCTGTAGGATGTGGTGGAGGGCCAGGTTAATGGCGTCGTCTACAGATCTGTTGGCTCTGTAGGCGAACTGCAGGGGGTCCAGGAGGGGGGAGGTGAGGGACTTGAGATGGGAGAGAACCAGGCGTTCAAATGACTTCATGACGACAGACGTAAGTGCTACAGGTCTGTAGTCATTGAGTCCTGTGATCCTGGGCTTCTTCGGGACGGGGACAATGATGGAGGATTTGAAGCAGGCCGGGACATGGCAGGACTGCAGAGAGGAGTTGAAAATGTCCGTGAACACAGGAGTAAGCTCACTGGCGCAGTGTCTCAGAGTGGCCGGAGACACGTGGTCCGGGCCAGGAGCTTTGCGGGGGTGCAGCCTCAGGAAGAGTTGTTTAATCTCTTTAGCGGCTATTGTTAGGCTGGGGGCAGGGCTGATGGGTGGGTCGTTAGAGTAGTGGGGGGTGGGGGAGGGAGAGGTGTCAGGGGCAGCATCAAAGCGACTGAAAAATAAGTTCAGATCGTCAGCTAGCTTGTGGTCATCAGCACAGGGGGGGGCTTTGGGTTTGTAGTTGGTGATCTCCCGTAGGCCCCTCCAGACAGAAGCAGTATCGTTGTTACCAAACTGCTCCTGTAGTCGTTCTCTGTGCCGGGACTTGGCTGCTTTCAGTTCTTTCCTGAACTGATATTTAGCTGCTTTGTAGCCGCTGCGGTCCCCCTCCCTGAAAGCAGACTCCTTTGCTTTCCTGAGCTGCCGGAGTTTAGCAGTGAACCAGGGTTTGTCGTTGTTATAGATGACCCTGGTCCTTGTTGGAATGATGCTATCCTCACAGAAGTGGATGTATGACGTCACAGTGTCCGTATATTCATCCAAGCTGTCTGTGGCAGCTCTGAAAAGGTCCCAGTCTGTAGATTCCATGCATGCGCGCAGCTCTTCCACAGCTTCATCAGACCACACTTTGGAGCTCCTCACTGCAGGTTTCGAGAGCTTTAGTCTCTGTCTGTAAGCAGGAACCAGATGTATCATGGAGTGATCTGAGAAGCCGAGGGCTGGCTTGGGAACAGCGCGAAAAGCTCCGCGCACGGTGGTGTAACAGTGATCCAGAGTGTTCTCCTCTCTGGTCGGGCATTTGATAAACTGTCTGTATTTGGGTAATTCCTGGCTCAAGTTTCCCTTATTAAAATCCCCCAGGATAATAATCAGAGAGTCCGGGTATAAGCGTTCCATACACAGTACTTGCTCTGCGAGTGCGCGCTGAGCCTCGCGCGCGTCCGCGCATGGCGGTATGTAAACAGAGGCAAGAATGAATGAAACAATTTCCCGCGGGGAGTAATATGGTTTACAATGAATGAAAAGATATTCCAGAGCAGGAGAGCAGTGCTTGGAGATCACTGTCACATCGTTACACCAGTTTGTATTGACGTAGAAACAGAGCCCTCCGCCTCTGCTCTTCCCTGAGAGCGCACAATGGCGATCCGCGCGAAACAGCCCAAAGCCCTGCAGCTCCAGAGCGCAGTCCGGGATCCGCTCATTTAGCCAGGTCTCAGTGAAGCAGAGGACACAGGATGTGGCGAAGTCCTTGTTTCTTCTCATGAGCAGGCTGAGTTCGTCCATCTTATTGCCCAGTGAGCGTACGTTGGAGAGAAAAATGCCGGGGAGAGCCGTGCGCGCTCCTCTCCTCCTAAGACGCACGAGCAGGCCTCCTCGCTTTCCCCTTTTACGGGCCCACACTTTTTTGGCTAGAACATGAACTAAATCAGCCGCAGATGCCAAGAAAACAGGCAATAGGTCCATGGGAACGGTGGGTCGGATGTTCATAAGTTCCTCACGGGTGTAGGAACAGCCAGATGCACAGTTAAAAAGTAAAAACAAAAGAAAAAGAGAGCAGCAAAGAGCCATGTCGACCGTACGAGGCGCCATCTTGAATCAAAGCGACCCTCATCCGAGCGCAGCTCCCGGAGCAAATGGTGAAACTCACCAAACTCCAACCGTCTACGGACTATCTGATGAATCCAGACACGTCGTCGATTCACCCTTTGACAACGTTGTCTGGCTTTATTAATCAGATACAGTAAAGCAACTCCTTTGCTGACATCCATGTTGGGAAACTACAGGCAAAAGAGACAAGCCCCGCCCCTAAACGCTCTCAACGCTCTGTGACAGCGGCTGCCCTCTAGTGTCCTGGCCGCGCGGCCAAGTTTCTCTATGACAGCGGCTGCCACAATTTGTCACAAGCCGCGCGATAGACGCGATTTGGCCGCAGAAATCGCGTTTGGTCTGAACGCAGCATAAGTGACATCTGGCAGCAGGACCCCTGATAACACTACAGGCAGCAGGACCCCTGATGACACTACAGGCAGCAGGACCCCTGATAACACTACAGGCAGCAGGACCCCTGATGATACTACAGGCAGCAGGACCCCTGATGATACTACAGGCAGCAGGACCCCTGATGACACTACAGGCAGCAGGACCCCTGATGACACTACAGGCAGCAGGACCCCTGATGACACTACAGGCAGCAGGACCCCTGATGATACTACAGGCAGCACGACCCCTGATGATACTACAGGCAGCACGACCCCTGATGACACTACAGGCAGCAGGACCCCTGATGACACTACAGGCAGCAGGACCCCTGATGACACCTCAGGCAGCAGGACCCCTGATGACACCTCAGGCAGCAGGACCCCTGATGATACTACAGGCAGCAGGACCCCTGATGATACTACAGGCAGCAGGACCCCTGATGACACCTCAGGCAGCAGGACCCCTGATGACACCTCAGGCAGCAGGACCCCTGATGACACCTCAGGCAGCAGGACCCCTGATGACACTACAGGCAGCAGGACCCCTGATGACACTACAGGCCGCATGTCAAGGCCAGTTTCTCTATTCAAAATATGAAATAATGACATATTTCAGACATGTGGATGTATACAACCGTTTACATGTCAAATGGTATGACACGAGTAAAATGTAAATAATTGATTTATAATGTGTAAGCAAACATCAAGTATAAACAGATTACACAAAGACTAAATGTTAATTGAGTACTCCATGTTGATGCCGGAATAAAATGATTTAAAAATGAAATGTCTAACGGTGTGACCGGTTACACCATTTGACTCTTACTCCAGACCTGTCAATTTGAGGTAAACTTTTATGGATTACACCCATAATTAGACTATATTTAGGTTATATATCTATATTATAAGTCAGATAATTACATGTGAACACTAATAGGCAGCTGTAAAATAAATTAAAAAACAAATACATGAATTCTGTTGAAAGTGACAGGGAAAGGCTGAGGAGTGATACTAAATTAAAAGCTATCAACGTCTATATTGTCTTAGCCTGGTCTTACCATACCATCATACAGATTTCCTCCATTGAGCTCTGTTAACAGGTGGGACGGGTTAACTCCTTTTGCAGATTGAAACCATTGGATCTGAGTTTACCGTGACGTTTGTAATGCACCCGAGTGAGTCGCTAGCATTAAAAGGGACCTAATCTTATTTTGTTCGTATATTGTATTTTTTTGTGTTAAATAAAACTCATTTTGACAGATAGTTTCACCCTTAGCAGTTTCTATCAATAAGAATCATGCAAAAAGACTTTCGCGGAAAAATTGCCGAGACCGGAAGTGACGTACACATAGGAGTCATTGGGCTTTGTTGATATGCATTTGTGCCATAACGTTGTATACGGACGTTTTAAACAGATATTTGTCATTCAGTGATGGACAATACAAGTCAGGGGCTTTTATTTATGAGCCCTTGCGTACTTGTTATGACAGTAATTATGATTTTGATGACTCGTTTCAGATGAGGAGCAATCTGCAAGAAATTGACATTTGCGGACATTAGGGCCGTTTCCACGGGCTGGAGTATGGATCTATGGTCCGACCGGGTCCGATCCGTCTCGACCCGGTTTGCGGATGCGGTCAGTTTGAGCTCGATGGTCCACACGAGTGAGTGTAAATAGCTAAGTGTTAGCGAAGGTAGCGCTAGGGATGAAGGAGTACATCAGGGACATCACAGAGAAAAGTTTAGAAGCGTAAAAGTGACTACCGTGAAATGAAAGATCCCAGCCGTAAAAGTGGACAGAACTGAAAAGTCTGGAGGTGGTTTGACAAGATGAATTGACGCCGTTTTTGCGGACATCAGCTAACTCGCTAACACCAGCTAACAAGCTAACACCAGCTAACATGTCAATAACCGCAACTCAGAAGCCTCAACTCTATGTCCCAGCTCCAGATGTTGAGTTGGACAGAAATGGTGAGTGTCTTCAATCAAATGCAAACATGTAGCGTTATGGTCTTATTCTGAACGTGTGTCTGTGGTTCTAAAGTCTTACACTAAACGTGTGTCTGTGGTTCTAAATTCTTATACTAAACGTGTGTCTGTGGTTCTAAAGTCTTACACTAAACGTGTGTCTGTGGTTCTAAAGTCTTACACTAAACGTGTGTCTGTGGTTCTAAAGTCTTATACTGAAGGTGTGTCTGTGGTTCTAAAGTCTAAAACATGATGGTATGTGTCATATCTATATCTTTTACTAAACATAGTTAGAGTGAAACATGGATTTATGGTTCAATGACAGTTGTGTTTTCTGCTGAATACTGGGTTGAAACTCGTAAAATTGGTTTTAGTTGGAGCTTGATAGAACTAATTTCATGGACCTGGCGCTGGTGTCTTCTCTCAGTTTGTTTGGACCGTGGCCTTCTCTGAATAAGTCAAAGATCGTAGGGACTGCTGTTTACACTCTTCTTTTGTTGCTTTCATTGCTGCATCCCGGGGCCGTACAAAATACACCCATTTTAAGGTTTATTTGTGTCAAAGCGGCAGCAGGAGCAATGCCATAAACAGTGAGGCGAGAGCTGCGACCCCTCTGAGTACGTCATAATTTTTCTGGCCAATCAGAGGCGTTGATATTAAAAGTTTTTTTTACTGATTTATTACTTATCTATAACACAAAAACACATTGCAAAGGTGGGAAATACATGCTTTTAATGGGTTTTATCAGAAAAAAAAAAGTTTTTAATAACGTTAGTGCCCTTTTAAGTATTTAGCCTAGCTTGAGTCATCTTCGTTGCCATTGACGGAGCCCGTGGGGAGTAGAGCCACAACATCTTGGTAGCAATGACATTTACTAAATATTCCTTTTCTCCTTCAATTTCTTGATAATTGGAGCCAAATCTGAATGGATTACTTACTTTACTATCTCATTCGCCGTAATCGCCAAACTACATGTACATGTTGGGAAATAATAATTGCCGGAGTTTACGGATGGCTAAGGCCAGGCTAATATTGTCTGACATAGTGGAAAAAGTGCGAATCTTCTTAGAAAGTGAGCTGTCTGAGCGATGCCAACAGTGACTTGTAAACAGAGACGCACATGTTTAGTAATAGGCATAGTAGGCTTTTCTAAAATTTGGGAAAATCCTCCTAAAGGAACTTCAAGCAGCCAAATAGCAATCCCGAATGGTGCACACCCAATCACCAAAATATATCCTGAAAACGTCTTTACAGGATGGTCCAAAAGTTGGCTCTTGGCCTAAAGCTCCGTTCCACATGTGTGTCAATGCTGAGGGGAGTGAATTTTTTTGTTTAGTCACTGTGAAATTTTGAAGGCACTTGTTAAATGAATGGGGCTCGTGCCGGCTGACGCATGCGCAGATGCGATTTTCCAATTTTCCAGCCCCCGCGGCCATTTTGAAACTGCCCATGTACCGCTGAAGTGGTGGCACATTAGTTAGAACGGCGGAGATAGGCGTGTCCGTTAATATTTACAGTCTATGGTCTGTACACACACTCATGGACCTTTTCTAGCCCACCGCCACTGTTTTAAATGCACTGCGTCGTTGCTCATTGCGCATGTATTTTCCTACACTGTATATATGTATACAGTGCCTTGCGAAAGTATTCGGCCCCCTTGAACCTTTCAACATTTCGCCACATTTCAGGCTTCAAACATAAAGATATAAAATTTTAATTTTTTGTCATGAAACAAGTGGGACACAATCGTGAAATGGAACAAAATGTATTGGATAATTTAAACTTTTTTAACAAATAAAAAACTGAAAAGTGGGACGTGCAATATTATTCGGCCCCTTTACTTTCAGTGCAGCAAACTCACTCCATAAGTTCAGTGAGGATCTTTGAATGATCCAATGTTGTTCTAAATGACTGATGATGATAAATAGAATGCACCTGTGTGTAATCAAGTCTCCGTATAAATGCACCTGCTCTTTGATAGTCTCAGGGTTCTGTTTAAAGCGCAGAGAGAACCATGAAGACAAAGGAACACACCAGGCCGGTTCGAGATACTGTTGTGGAGAAGTTTAAAGCCGGAATTGGATACAAAAAGATTTCCCAAGCTTTAAACATCTCAAGGAGCACTGTGCAAGCAATTATATTGAAATGGAAGGAGTATCAGACCACTGCAAATCTACCAAGACCCGGCCGTCCCTCCAAACTTTCATCTCAAACAAGGAGAAGACTGATCAGAGATGCAGCCAAGAGGCCCATGATCACTCTGGATGAACTGCAAATAACTACAGCTGAGGTGGGAGAGTCTGTCCATAGGACAACAATCAGTCGTGCACTGCACTAATCTGGCCTTTATGGAAGAGTGGCAAGAAGAAAGCCATTTCTCAAAGATATCCATAAAAAGTTTGCCACAAGCCACCTGGGAGACACACCAAACATGTGGAAGAAGGTGCTCTGGTCAGATGAAACCAAAATCGAACTTTTTGGCCACAATGCAAAACGATATGTTTGGCGTAAAAGCAACACAGCTCATCACCCTGAACACACCATCCCCACTGTCAAACATGGTGGTGGCAGCGTCATGGTTTGGGCCTGATTTTCTTCAGCAGGGACAGGGAAGATGGCTAAAATTGATGGGAAGATGGATGGAACAAAATACAGGACCATTCTGGAAGAAAACCTGTTGGAGTCTGCAAAAGACCTGAGACTGGGACGGAGATTTATCTTCCAACAGGACAATGATCCAAAACATAAAGCCAGCAGTGAACTAACAAAATGTATTTTAACCCTTTTAAAAAAGATCAGCCAGTGCGGCCCAAATGTACAGTAGCACTCAATAATGTCTTACAGTAGTGAGTTTGGTTGTAACTGGCTGAATCCTCCAAATCACTATTCTTGCCAAAAGGTTGAATAACTTTATTTCAGTTCTCATAATATTTTTCCCCTCTCCTTTTCAGTTCTGGAAAGTGATTCTGTGCAGACGAACGTGACCTCGACTCCAATGTGACGACTTGGACTGAAGACGACCTGTGTTTTATAGATTTAAGTTCTTAAGGACCTTAAATCTATCTTGATCTCATTATATTATGTAATAAACAGAATGTAATGCTTTTCGGTGAGTATCATGTTAATACGTTTTATTTCTTTGTTTTCGTCAATTGTGAGAAACAATTTGGGAAGATTATTAAGTCTTTTTTGAAAAAAAAAAACATTATATATATATATATATATATGAATGTATGTATGTATATTTTTATATGTGTGTGTATATATATATATATATTAGTGCTGTCCAACGATTAAAATATTTAATCGCGATTAATCGCATGAATTTCATAGTTAACTCGCGATTAATCGCAAATTACTCACACATTTGCGTGCTGTGTGCAATTGCTTTTTTTATTGAAAACAATGTGTAGTGTTATATTACACACTAACATTTGATGCAAAATCATCAATAAATGGATGACAAAATAAATAATTGGTAACAAAAAGCCCCTTCAATGTGTGTGTGTGGGTGTGTGTGTGTATGTGTGGGTATAGACCATAGACTGTATAGAAACATCATGGTGTCATTATGATGATGATAAACAATCTGTAAATAT